ATTATTTCGCTAAAAATGATTTCATGTTCGAGAAAATTACCAGAACAAATAGAGTTGAACAATTACCATTATACTTAAACTTAAAATAATCTGCGGTTTTTCCTATTTCCTCAATTGGTTTTAGACCATGATGTAATTCTAGAGCTTCTCTTATCGATGTTCTGCATATAGATACCAAATCTATGTTATAAATTTAGATCAATTATACCATCGATGTTATAAATAAAGATCAATAATACCATCAATGTTGTAAATATAGAGCAAGTATACCATCGATGTTATTAATTTAGATCAATTATACGCATATATGTTTTAAATATAGATCAACTATACCATCGATGTTATAAATATAGATCAAATATATCATCGATGTTGTATATATAGATCAATTATCTTATCTATGATATAAATATAGATCAACTATATCATCAATGTTATAAATATAAATCAAGTATACCATCAATGTTATAAATATAAATCAAGTATACCATCGATGTTATAAATATAAATCAAGTATACCATCGATGTTACTAACCATCGATTTTCTAAACAAAGAACAAATATATTATCGATGTTACAAATATAACCAATAAAGATCACATGAATAAAGATAAATTCGATTAAGTTTACCATTAATGGTTTTAATTTAGAAAAACTTTACCATCGTTAAAATATAACTTACCAATAAATATTTTACATGATGCTATACATTACAATAAACTCTTAGTTACGATTGTCCTGAAATAATATTTGGCAATCTAGACCTATCATGTCGTTGGTTGAAGTTTACACAACGCAGAGCGGGGAACCTTTGTAACATTTTTTCATTGGAATTTCGTGCACTCAATAGTTTGAACTGCAATTATGCTGGAGAATTATTAGTTTATGTTCTCCAGCTGATTGAAGGGGTAGAGCTAGAGCTTAAAGAGACTGTTACAGTTATCTGTAAAGGAACTGTTGTTATATTTTCAAGTGACCCCCCATTTAAAGGGGGCATGCATTCCCTTTGAAATCTTTAACGTATCATTAATGGGGAACACATTGCATTTGTCTAGCTTGTAAAGTGTTTAATTCTAACCATTTCATCCATACTTTCTGCAGCTAAAAGCACAAGTCAATCAAAATTGAAAAAAATCTATTTTCAGATAGAAAAAGCATAGATATCTCATCCGTTCTTGATTGAATAAATCCTTACTTACGTCTACAGGTAACAGCCAAAAAAGTCCGTGGAAAAAAGTCCTAAAATTTCACACTGAAAAAGTCCTGTGGAAAAAAGCCCTTTTATTAAAAAGTCTCCGGAAATAAAGTCCTCCTAATTCGAGACTTTATTTTCTAGGACTTTTTTTCTGGTTTTAGTATGATTTTATACAAAAAAGTCCTTGGAAAAAAAGTCAAGTGAAAATGCATGATTCACAATTCTAGGTTTTTCTTTTCCTCGGATTTCTTTTCTTCAGGACTTTTTTCTGAGACTTTATTGGAAGCCCCCACACTTTTTTAGGAAAAAAAGTCCCAGGAATCCAAAACACAGGACTTTATTTCCAGTGACATTTTTTCCAAGGACTTTTGAAAATTCGGACTTTTTTTCCAAAGTTTTTATTTACAGAAACTTTTTTTCCCGGGACTTTCTTACATAGATTCCCGGCTACAATCCCTCTAAACCCTACAATCCCTCTATTTAGAAGATGTCATGAAAGGGTTTCCGAGATTACTCTTTTAACTAAGTCTATGGAAGAAAACATCATCATTGGACAAGTTTCAGAGACTTTATCGGATACTTGTTTGCCTCGCGATTTGAACATTTTAACGTTTCCATCAACATCAACTTAATTTTTTTTTGCTCGAGCAATTTTGGTAACGTTTTCGTCAAATTCGTTTTTGCACAAAATAACGTGAAATTTGTCAAAATTGTGTGCAAATTTGCTTGCAATAGAAACCTAAATTTTCAATAGGCTCGTTTACACGAAAAGATGTTTGAATTCTGTCTGTGCATAATTAAATGTTTGCGAATCTTTAACGCTAAAATTGAAGATAACGAATTACGCAAAATGCAGCTGCCTTTGTTTTATTTACTTTTTTAATTACAAAGTCTTATCGGGTTAAAATGTTTTTTTCAAATTTTACTAAATTAATGTCGAACAATTTATCACTGTATCAATATAATAGAAAATTAGTATTTAAATAGTTAGCCCCAAACAGTTATATCTAAATGTTCCAATTTTTTCTTTCATTTTTTTTATCCGGGAAAACAGGGTTAATTTAGTTTCTCCTTTGTTTAGATATTTGCATGAAAGGTTTCGTGATTCTCAAGTTTTATTTATTGGTGTAATAAGATTTGATAGTTTAGTTGGAAACTTAAAATATTTCTGTATGTATATAGATGTTTCCATATTTTTAGATGGATATAGATGTTGCAATATTTCTGTATGTATATATATTTATATAAATATAAAGTAGTAATCTCTTTTTGTTTTTCTGTCTGATCATAACTCAAGAAACCTCTGGACCGATTTGCCTCAAATTTTGATTGGGGAACTTGGGAGAACCACGGGAATGTTCTTGATTTGGTTTTAAGATTTTAAGTTAAGTGGGTCGACTTTTATAGAGAAATATATCTAAAATCGTAATGTAAGACCAAGCGCGGATAAACGGCAGGTATAAACATGAGTAACCTGGGCAACGCTGGGTTTCCAAGCTAGTACTGTAAAACATAACCCATGATATATTGACGAAGTATTAATCTTGGTCTATTTCAGTTGGCTTTGCACCGTTCATAGCATTTTTTTTCTCTTCAATAATTTGGACATGTTATGATTTTACAATTAGAAATGTTATTTTTTGGATTTTATAAAAATCAAATAATGTGTTGTGCCAAACCCTTACCTGACCTCCTTCCCCCTCTCTATACCGTGACTAAACCTTGCCCCCCCCCCACCTCTCATATATGAAGACCCCTTCTCTCCTATACATGCTGTGACTGGAATTTGTTTACATACACTGCAACCTGTTATATGTTAGCAAACAAGAAAAAATACAATATTAAATGTAGAGGGTACAGGGTTAACCACAAAAGATGTAACTTTAATAACGACCTAAAACTTATTTGATATAGCATATCTTTAGGATAGCTATTTATTCTTGTAACTTTATTAATAGGATGGTTGTTGTAATTTTACAAGTGACCCTACGGCCTCCAGTTTAACGCGTTTCATACCAGAATTTACAGAGGTACCCAGTTAAATCGTCTCAGCAAAAATGTCGGATATTCCTGTTTTTCTGTCTGAAATTTATTATTTTTAATTGAGGTTTCTTTCGGTAAGTGGTTATTATGGATTTTTGCATAAGAGACAGAGGAGGATAAGGTTTAAATAGATATCTTCACCATGAAAAGACTGAATGAAGTCTGCTCAGTCGTCTTCTGCAAGTCTTTTTGCTTTATGGGTAAACAGTCCGTAAAATGTTAGCTTTATAAACTGCATATATTAACTTATACATTATAATCTTTCTAGAAAATTAAGTAAGTCGTGGGAACAAAAATTAGAGATAAAGAAAAAAGTTTCAATTTCCACAAGTTCCAGGAAAACTTGTCACTGAAAATAGAGCCCTGCGACTTTTTCAATGATTTTTATATAAATTGTTAATCCAACATTGACCAGCCCCCATGTGAGTGTTTTTTTTTTGCTGCTACATTTCCGTTCTAAAATATGCATTTTCACCTATTTTAGGACTTTATTTCCGAGGACTTTCTTATATACAATCGTACTGAGACAAGAAAAATGGTTCTATAAAATTAAGTCTTAAAACATATCCTAGAGGAGCCTAAATAACTTTGGTTTGCTCCTATTATTATTTGAATTTAATGATTGATAATATTATTTACACATGTTCGTATCACATTACAGAAGTTACTTAGGCTCCTCTGGGATATCGTCGTTTTCAGATTGATTGCGTATTTGCTGAACAAGATCCGTTTAAATCTACGATTTTTATATGCAATTTTATATATATAAAGTTTACTATAAATTTGACACAGTTTTACATTAATTTCTCGAGACAGGAACATCAGATAGAACTCTTACGGGTCTAGATCAACTCCTAAAATGCTTAGATTTCAGCCTATACCCCCTGTCGTATGTTCCTTTACAGTCCCTTTAAGTATAAAAAGTGATGTTGGTTATTGTGGATTATCAAATAATTAAAGAATTTATGAAAATGACGGTATATGTACATAAATACTAATTTAATTAATATTGGTAACTTATAAACAATTAAAAATCATGAAAAAAAGTCTTAATAACCGAAAAATAAGTTTTAAATTGGATTTGCATTGAACTCTAACTTTTGTATAAACGTGATTAAAATGTGAATTTCTTATTTCCACTAAATATACATATTGACATTTTCAAGCACAAAATGATGCATGCAGAGTTTGAAGAAAATTACTTAATTAGAATTTTACTCAAATATTCCAAGGAAATAGTTGTAGCAAATGCTGCTGTACATTTTACACAATGCAAAGTGCACAGTGTTCAGTGTACAGTGTACAGTGTGCAATGTGCAGTGTAAATGTACACTAATGTAATTTGTACAACTTAATTATGTCCTAACATTAACTATTGTTCCGGTTGCAAAAGAGGACGCATTTATGCGAATTCACTGTTTAGGATTCCAAAATGGGGACGCAAATAAGAATGACAATATTGTGGACGCACAAAAATGTGACATGCAAATATACAGTGGTGTCATTAAATCTGTGAATTCGAAAGACAAATGTTAGACTCAAGTAATGATTTTAATCAGTCAAATGCAGATTGCAGATTGTATAGAATGAAACATAACAATTGTGCACATACCCGTTTCCATGCTTTGCATGCTACTAGTAGAACTATATGATAACATACAACATTGCTTAAATAGCGTCTCCCTTTTCCACAGTTTAACTGGTTCCCACTGTCTCTACATCTTAGCTTCACTTCTTGTGCGTTATTAAAAAAGAAAGCGAATTTCTTAAATTTAAAAAGCTATATTTTCAAATCTTTGTAATATTAGTTGTTCTTGGTGTTTTGAATGTTCCTGATTGTCATTATGTTAGTGATGTTAATGATGTCCTTTTTGATGTTCTTGAGCTTTGTTCATGATCTTCTACATCTGGATTTAAGATCTTCGATTGAACTTCGTAAATCCATAATTTCATCATCCTGAATAAAGATAGAAAAGAAGTACTTTTGAAAAAGAAAATATCATTTCTTTTTGCAGGTATGTACACCATACTTCAACACGAATTCATAAATTTTTTAATAATTTTTTGCATTTTTTGTTAGAGCTTGGAAGGTATTAAGGTAGGTTGGTAGGTATAGGTGGGAAGGGGGATTAAGGTAGAAAGTAGGAAGTAAAAGGTAAGCAAGTCGGGAGTTATGTCTGTAGGTAAGTAGGTAGGTACGTGGGAAAGGAGGTATAGTTAGGTAATAAAAGACAAAAAGTCAAGCAGGTCAGGAGAGAGGTAGTTAGGTAGGAAGGTAGGAAGGTAGGTAGGTAGGTAGGTAGGTGGAAAGGGAGGTGTAGATAGTTAGTAAACGGAAAGATGGTAGGGAGAAAGGTAGGTCAACAGGAATGTTAGGTTACTATTGGTATGTATGGTAATTAAAAGGGTAGGTAGGTAGGTAGGTAGACATGAAGGAAGGAATGAAGGTAGGTGTAAGGTACCTGGTGTTTTATTATAGATTTCTGGTTGGTAAATTTATCCATCCACTCCATTCTATCATCCTCATACACCTAATAGTGGTACTGATACCGATACCGTTATTGATACCGATACCGATACGGGATACCCATACCCATACCCATACCGATACCGATACTGAAACCGATATCGATGCCGATATCGATACCGATACCGATATTGATACCTATATTGATACCGATACCGATACCGATACTGATACTGATACTGATACTGTTACTGATACTGATACTGATACTGATACTGATACTGATACTGATACTGATACTGATACTGATGCTGAAAAAAACAATAAAAATAACTATAATATTAAATTAACCTGACATTTCTCTTTCATTTCTCCTGTCCTTCTTCTTACTCTGCGAACCTTTGTTAAAAATAAAAAAATAACAGGGGTTTCACAAATGATAATCCTTCAAAGACGACTTTAGGATCATATTTAGTTTTTTATTGTTTATTATTTATTACACATATATCAATGATTTGATGAGGCTAGAGGCATATTCTTAATCTGTGTCATTTATTATTATTCACAAGATTATATTTAAAGGGGCTGTTTACAACTTTAATTAATTTTAAGTCAATTTCCATTTCACAACTTTAAATCTTCTTAGGACAAAAGTGATGAATATTTCCATGTTTTCTAAAACTTAATTATTTTCATGCAAAAGCGTTTTCTGTGTTGAAGGGCCTTGCGTATTTACGCAGTAGAGGCAAAGAAGGAAACTTTTCTATTTAGAAAAACGAAGATATCTTCCTCATTTTCAGATCTCTGTACTACTATTTTGCTGTTTACCTGAGCCTTTAGTTTTGCAGGAGGTAGGCTCACCCAGGGAGAAACATCCTAGCATACAGGGTGTCCCACGAAACATGACAGTTGGTGAATAGTTTGAAATATCTTGTTTGGCAGACGTATTATAGTTAAATTGATTTCAAAGTAAAATATATTTTAATAAAAGACTTTTTAACTAAATAAACTGCACAAAAAGTCTTGGATATCTAATAAAGTATATTTAAGAAGACATTCAAAACTATTCACCTACTGTCATGTTTCGTGGGACACCCTGTAGTTTAATTAGTTTCATCGAGGTTGCGTGATTAAAAGAAAAATAGAAAGAGAGGTTTCGTGTGTTTTTCAGAATTTGTTTTTTAACAATATCTTAATTGCAATGTTTAACTTAATTGCCGTATAAATACGAGAACAGAAGACGTTCATTATGAAATTTACGATGTAGTGAGAACGCAATCGTTTCATAAAATTTTTATTATAGTAGCAGTGCAGTGTCCCCATCCGTAATCATACACTTTCATGCAAGTTTTCGTATCACATTGTTTGGAACACCAAAGTAGCATCACATATCTAGTTTAGTTTTAGGACATTTAATAACATTCAGATGTTCAAAACATAGAAAAAACACTCTCATTAGAAGTTTTGAAATCATTAAACTCACATTCCTCATATGTGGAATGATTCCTGAGTTTACCTTAATAAACTGCCAGAGTTTTGATGTTTCTTTATTAAACATTCTTCTCTCCTGTTCATCAGCCAGGGAGTAGTGGGAGTCTAAATATATAGAGGGTGGTAGGAGTCTAAATATATAGACTATAGAGGGTAGTAGGAGTCTAAATATATAGAGGGTAGTAGGAGTCTAAATATGTAGAGTGTAGTAGGAGTCTAAATATATATAGATGGTTGTAGGAGTCTAAATATATAGAGTGTAGTAGGAGTCTAAATATATAGCCTATAGAGGGTAGTAGGAGTCTAAATATATAGAGGATAGTAGGAATCTAAATATATAGAGGGTAGTAGGAGTCCAAATATAAAGAGGGTAGTAGGAGTCTAAATTTATAGACAATAGAGGGTAGTAGGAGTCTAAATATATAGAGGTTTATAGTGGGAGTCTAAATATATAGAGGGTTATAGAGGGAGTCTAAATATATAGAGGATTATAGTAAGAGTTTAAATATATAGAGGGTTATAGTGGAAGTCTAAATATATAGAGGGTTATAGTGGGAGTCTAAATATATAGAGGGTTATTGTGGAAGTCTAAATATATTGAGGGTTATAGCGGGAGTCTAAATAAATAGAGGGTTATAGCGGGAGTCTAAATAAATGGAGGGTTATTGTGTGAGTCTAAATATATATAGGGTTATAATAGGAGTCTAAATATATAGAGGGTTATAGTAGGAGTCTAAATTTATAGAGGGTTAAAGTGGGGAGTCTAAATATAAAGAGGGTTATAGTAGGAGCCTAAATATATAGAGGGCTATAGTAGGAGTCTAAATATATAGAGGGTTATAGTGGGAGTCTAAATATATAGAGGGCTATAGTAGGAGTCTAAATATGTAGAGGGTTATGGTAGGAGTCTAAATATATAGAGGGTTATAATAGGAGTCTAAATATAAAGAGGGTTATAGTAGGAGTCAAATTATATAGATTATAGAGGGTTATAGTAGGAGTCTAAATATATAGAGGGTTATAGTGGGAGTCTAAATATGTAGAGGGCTATAGTAGGAGTCTAAATATATAGAGGGTTATAGTGGGAGTCTAAATATATGAAGAGTTATAGCAGGAGTCTAAATATATAAAGGGTTATAGTAGGAGTCTAAATATATAGAGGGCTATAGTGGGAGTCTAAATATAATAGAATAGCAATATAAATCGTGAATCTTAGCTTGAAAACATGGGGGGAATATATTTTCTTGAAAAATCATTTTCCCCAGAAGTCTCTCAGTTTTTTTTCTCTCGCTGAAGTAGGAAAAAAATGACTTTTCGGAGAAAAGTATGAAAAAGGAAAAAAAAACTTGCTTTTTGATGTTTAATTTTTCTCCCACTCCCCCAATTTCAAGTATCACCTCTTCCCCCCTAGGAGGCTGTGTGTGTGTAGTTTTAAAAGTTATACACCCCTGCCTTTAAATATATATTCTCTATTCTGACCAATATATCCTGTATCCTAACCTATATATATCCCATATCCTAACCTATGTAAAAGACAGGGATATCCTCTCTAGTATCCAGAATATCTTTCAGCATCTCAATTATCTGATCTGTATATCTAAAAAAATTCAAACTTTGTTTTTTATTTATTTTTGTTTTTAAAGGTTTTTACGTTATTTTTTTACCTTTTTTTGTTGACTCTTCTGTTATCCCTATCCTCCTCTGCGGCTGCACTAAAATCAGATTTTTGTTAAAAAAAAGACAGAAAAGTTATGAATATAAAAATGATTCAAAGAAGTTTCGAGTAAGGTTTCGACTCCAGTGAAATTGAAATCCCTCTCCTTGTCTCCAGTGGAATCAAAATCTTACTATTAACTTCCGTGAATCATGAAAAATAGTGGTTAACCTGAAAGACCAAAATGATATAACCACTGCCAAGTTTTTAGTGACATTACCAAGAAGACGACCAACAGCACTGAAATAATAATAATTTCCTACAGATTTCCTGCATTTTACAGTGTCTTAAATGTAATTTTTTCTCGAAAATCCATGAACATATATGATGATGTTTTACAGTGATAACCAGAAAATATATTGTTGTGGTCTTCTTTTATCTTTTAAAATTTTATAGTCTTAAATAGAACTCAACAGTAAAAAGCCAAGATTGAGTGGAATAATGAAGCATGGTTGCACACAAACTATATTTACATTATAAAGATACAAACGATTAGTGTTGGACCACCTAAAATTGATCTAAATACACATAATGCCAATATATTTCCATTCAACTCCTCTGATCAGATACTCTGTGCTAACTGACGAGGTTTTTGGGGATCTGGGAACAAGATGGCCGATGATACTGCTTTTTTCCCCGGCTAGATAAATGCCGCTTCACTCCTTTCTTCAGCATCAATCATACCCAAGCTCCGCCCTTTAAACTGCCCTTTAATAGCTACCAACTTGATATTTCCAGATAAAAATATCCTTGCTAGCCTAGCCTGTCTTGTACTAAGGCTGCAAACATAATCGGGGTTCAATATCCTCTTGGACTGGGTCTAGATTGTTTGGCTTTAATCTTGGATTGCATTTGCTAGGCTTTATTTCTTCGACTGGGAGCAATTAACTGTATGATACTATATACGCATTGGAGAACCCTTGGTTGGGTTTGCAATTTATCAAAAGTGTGTTAGAGATATTGTTACTTATAAAACTGATTTTTTTCTAAAAATGTGCCCTTAACAATTTCAGAAATATGTCAAGTAACACAATTTGACAGAGATATTTTTTAACAAAGATATAAAAATGAACATTGCATATTTATACTTTTATCTTTTTTTACCATAAAAATTATCATTTTGTAAAGAATTGAGGACATGCAGGGTGTCCTACGAAACATGACAATAGCAAGATGACTTAAATGACGTCTTTGAACTTTGAATTTATTTGTGACATTCAGTTGTCAACCTACTTTCATGTCATGACATTTCCAAAATGTGGTCTGCTGTTTTTGTGCTGTCAATATTACCGTCGATATTAATAACTTTGTTTGATTTCAATTTGATCAAATAAACGAGAATTGTCGAAAATTGAACGAAATTCTTCTCAGTTAATATGCAATATTTGAAGCACAAAACAGGTAGACGGCATTTTGGAAATGCCAAGAGTACTTTGGTAATTTGTGATTAATAAATCTAGAATTTTACTTCTAAAATCGTCTTGCTACTCACATGTTTTGTGAGACACCTCGTATCTTAAAATATATATTTTCAACAACCAAATCAACCTAACCTGGTAAGGCGGTTCCATACTATAAAGAAAATTGTGATTGCTCATAAAATGAAATGAAAAATTTTTGTCTTACGCAAGAGATCGGGCGAGTTCTGTGCTCATCCTGTCCTTATATCTGAATACCAGGACAAACCCATTCACTTCTTCTATCTAAAAATTTAGGGTTAAATATAGGACTCATCCTGTCCTTATATCTAAATACCAGGACAAATCCATTCACTTCTTCTATCTAAACATTACATGGTTAATATAGAAGTTCTATACTCATCCTGTCCTTGTTTCTAAATACCAGGACAATTCCATTCACTTCTTCTATCTAAACATTAAGGGTTAAATTTAGGACTTATCTTGTCCTTATATCTATATACCAGGACAATTCCATTCACTTCTTCTATGTAAACTTTACAGTTCTGTACTCATCCAGTCCTTATATCTAAATACTAGAACAAACCCACATGGAAGTTCAAAAAATGAGAACATTATTTTTAGCAGAATAAAAATATGAAAGGTACTGCATGGTTGGCAATTTTTACATGTACTGTACATTTTCACCTCTGCTAGTGTCCAAACCATATCTTCAAGCTGTTGTACACTGCTGTTAAATCCAGGAGTATCAACTATTGTTACTCCAGGGCTGCCTTCACGTCCTGAAATTGGAAAATATTAAATGTCGTTTTCCAGGTAAATATCGTCTTCTGACTAAATGTCGTCTTGAAACAAATTGAAATCTAGAATTCAAACATTGAATAAATGACTAGAAGTGGAGGCTATTAACAACCACCCTTTCGCAAGCGGATAGCTGTTATCCTAACATCGGATAGCGGTAAAGGGCACATGAAATGCTTGTACAGCCTTTATTAAATAATAAAAAAAGGTGAAAATACTTTTCAACATAGAAAAAAGGGTCCTTAAAAATAATTTGCAATTTTTTTTGCATTATCTTTATGTTAGGATAACGGTAATAACCGTACTTAATGCGCTATCCGAAAATTGTTAAACATAGGCATGCACTAATGCATTATCCTAATTTCCATAATTTATAGGATAAGGCATTGTATAGGAAATACAGAATACTGGAAACAAGATAAAGGATACTAGATACTGGATACAGGATACTAGATACAGGATACTGGATACAAGATACAGGATACTGAATACAGAATACTGGATACATGATACTGAATACAAGATACTGAATACAGGATACTGGATACTACAGGAAGGGTACTGGATACAGGATACTGGATACAGGATACTGGATACAGGATACTG